GAATAACCACTGACCAATTTACCAATTGCTGTCTCCTGAGAAGTTGCCTCTGCTTCTGACTCGTGTTAAGGGTCTGCAGTTTACCAGATCTCTTTCCACAAATCCTGCCTTAGTAATTCCTTAGCACCAAATGAGAGGAGGCTATTTAACTTGCTTCTGGCATGAATTAGCTTTTTTTCCATTCCAGCTGATCTTGGGTACGTGAGTATAGTTTCCAATGTTGCCACTCTGATTGCCCCGGGAGGTGATCTTACTACCTTGCATTTGCTGGCAGTTTAACAATGGTGAGAGGATACAGTTAAAATACCCCCTTAATAACCCCTCCATGAAACGATCCAGTGCTGGTGCATGAAAGTTATGTTTCAACTCGTACTTATTGCACCACCTCAGTTACTTGAGGAAAATGAAGCAGCCCACCCAGCCCCAGGGAGCTTGGAGTTTCTCTGGGTTTGTGTGGGTTTCTTGCAAAAGCCTTCTCAAAATTGATGTTTTCTCTATTAGACTGTAAATATTCTTGACATTCAGAGATGAATTTCAAGTCAGCTATTAGATTAGATTTACACAAAGTGGGGTGGGGGCATTGTCAGCCTTCCAAGTTTAAAAGGAGAAAATTACCCTTTTTTTTTCCAAACACGAATTGAGAATAGCAGGCAAGAATTTTCATTTTTGTTCTAAACATTAAGCTGATAACTCTTCTGATAAAGGATCATGGACCCAAAACATGGACTCACTTTCCTTTCTCCATAGATGCTGCCTGACCTGCTGAGTTTTCCCAGCTCTCTCTGTTTTTGTTTCAGATTCCAGCATCTTGTATTTTGTTCAAGCTGATTATTTTACTTGATTCCCCCCACATTTGAGAAAAGAAGGCATTTAACCAGACCTCTGACACTGCTGTATTTAGCCAGTTTGCTAACAGCTGAAGAAAGAACTATGAGGGAGCATTTCTGAGAAGAAAAATGGGGAATTTGCAAAATACAGATATCAGCCTCTTCATCTCAGTTTTGTATATTAAAAAAATATAAATTTAGGATTGAAGCCTCATATTGGGGCTTTGAAGTCAGACTTGGTTGACTCTTCAATGCAGTCCTGGGGAGTGCTACATTGCTGGGGGTGCTATCCTTTGGATGAGAAACTAAACTGAGGTCTCCACTACCTTTTCAGGTGACATTAAATATCCTGTGGCACGATTCGAGAAGAGTTTCTTCCTTGCTCATCAATCTACCAAATAAAGTTGGTCATTCGCTTTATGGCTGTTTGTGGGTCATTGGTGTGCACAAATTGGCTGCTGTGTTTTACAACAAAATAGTCCCTGCGCTCTACAATAAATCCTGTGAAGCGCTTTGAGAGTAACTCCTGATGTGAAAGATGCTATAATAAATGCAAGGATTATGATACAATTTCACCACAGCACATTAGTACATTAAGATGAATTACTGTACTGCCTGACAAACTATAAATATTGGTTTCTCTGAATCTCACTGTACCTAATTGCATCTTCTTAGATTTCCCATTTTAGTTTATCACATTTCTGCCTGTGGCTCAAAGTTTTATGTTTATTCTGACTAGTGATATTGAATCATGCAGAACAGCCCAGCATAGAATGTAGGGTATTTTTTAAACTATAATTCAAAACTTAAATCCCATGTCCTGGAGAAGGGATTTTCTTCGTTTCTAGTGCCCACATTAATCACTCTCCAGTTAGTGTTATGTTTTTTTTGAGTGGAGTCAGCTCCTGCTATCGTAGCAGCTGCATGCTATCTAAAACGTGATACGAACAGAATTCGCTAATTTCAACTAAGTAGCCACCATGCTATTGGTGGGAGCTCTACTCCAGATGTAAATTCTGTTGGGATAGAGTTTGTCTGGATCGCTGTGATACATTTCCAGTTATTGGTTATGAATATTGCAATTTGGTCCCCACTGTTGTAATCGAGTTTGGTGCATTCCCCACTGTATCAGCCAGATGTTCCATTTCATAAACAGCTGTGACCTCTGGATATTGGAATGAAAATATATAATCTATTCACTTTACAGTGTATTCTGTGAGGCGCTTTGAGACATCTAGAAGACATGAAAAGCACTACATGAAATGCAATGATTTTTTATTATTATTGACCAATTACTGGACTACTGTACTGTGAGGAAGGTTGTTGAAACTGTTCAGATACATTTAATTTTAGTTTCTTAATATTTGTCAAAGAGAGACTTTAACCTTGTGCATGGGCTGTTGGTTAGATTTTGGTTTACAAAGTGAAAGGACAATTTTGTTACCTAATTGTGTGACCTAATCCCAAGGTACAACAGTATATGAGCATTTATTTAGTAAAGATATTTATTCACAAAATCCCAGTTTGGGAGCTTCTTTACCCTCGTAAACATTTACTGTGGTGGATTATTTTGGGACCAATTTAAATTTTTCTTTTTTTTCTTTGGTTCTGATTAGATTCCAAAGATTGTTACTTAAAATATGATTATTTTTTCTTAATATAGTATGGTTAAACGTAAATACTTGTCTATGATTTCAGACATTCATGTTTTGATGCAGAATTCTTTGTACTGTAAGCAATAAAATTAGTGAAGCCAGAATGTCTTGTTGCTAATTTTGCTCTCAATTTCACTTGATGCTTTACCCGTGTTATCAGAACCTCGTGGAGAATTTTTTGTGAGCTGCATTCTACCACTAACACTGCATTGGTGTGGAGATGAATCACTTGTCTACTTGTGATATGCTGGTATTTTCATGTTAATCCTTTTTGATGAATTTATGCTTTATAAGTACAGTGACCAGTGCATACTGTACATATAGGCTGAGAAAAGGCATTTTATTACACTGCATGATTGGAGTTATTATAACGCAATACAGGAATCCTGTACCTGAAATTAATTTTAACACTTTATTATATTGAGTATAATAAAATGTGACTGATTTGGGGGAAAATATATTATCCAATATTCATTCTTTTATGCCATCATAGGCATTATTTGTTTAGGTTGTTTGTGAATGGTAATATTCATACTACAGTTAGCAGCCATAACTTAGTAAGGAACCTGTCTTCCTGTCTGATGGGCTAAATGGAATTGCAGCATTCATGCTGTGAGTTTTGATGTCTACCATTTTGTATCTTTTGTTCACGCTGTTTCTCTTACCTGCGTTTTAAAGAGTAATAGACTTGCACTTAATTACCAAAAGCTCCAATGTTCCATGATTGACATACAGCAGCTATTAAGTGCAAAGGATGTCACATCACTGATGAATAGACTAGCAGAGATGTGGTTAATATAGGCCACACTACTTGTCTTAGCCATGAAAATACATAATTCATCATTTTATTGTTGACTTTAAATACTGTGCTGAAATTTTACAGTACAATAGGAAAATTGCCTTTGAAAAGTATTAAATGGCTTGCTAGTTCAGAGGGTACATTAGAAAGTCAGACTCATTAGACCTGATATATATAATCTGTCACAAGTCAAAAATTGTATTCTTTATTGTGAATGTCTTCAAGATACCAGTATTCAGAAGACTGATTGAAGCAAAAAAAACTACTTAAATACGACACCATTAGAAGTTTAAAAAAATGTAATTGGTTTGATATTGAGTACCTGCATTGTTTTGGAATTGAACCTCCTGAAATCAGTTTAACCAGTGGAAAATCTTTTTGTATAGTTTGAAACAAGAGATTTATTCAATGAATATAGCACTGAATAAATGCTATAAAAATTATAATAGTAATAATCCTTGCATTTGATATAGTGCCGTATCACGTTTTCGAAACGTCTCAATTACAATCTTGAGGCAAATCATAGAGTTTATGTTTTAGTAGTTTTTTTTCCTCAAAGTGTTAATTTGCAATATAACAACAGATGTTGTGGATTGAGTTGGTCTCTCATCAAAAATATTCCTTAAACGTTCACAAGAACAACCCCGGAATTGCTTTATATGGTGTCATATGATATGAAGGTGAGTATGTAGTGTAGAGTAGAGGGTGTGCTAGCAGGTATCTTTTAGACGAAGGATATTGTTTTAAGGGGCTATTGGCTCTGGTTTCATAAAGAAACTAGACAACTAAATCTATTATATAGTTTTACTGTGGAGGATTCATTTAAGAAACACAGTATTCATATTGCATAATTTGCTTCTGACAATAAAATTAACAAATGGGCTGGACATAGTTTTAAAAAGCATTGTTTCTGTCTATAATCCTATTCTGCCTATTGAAGCGTCGGAGCTGCAAACTGCATTGGTGTCCTAGTTATACTGGTTTTCAGCAAAGTTCAGTACTTTTTAATTGAATCCATGCAAAAGATGAGTATAAATCCGGCATAAACCCTGTTTGGAATCTTGAAGCAAATCTTATTTGAGACTATCTGCTGAAACCACTTTGAGGATGGTTTCAATGAGAAATGTGTTGCTGCAATATAAATACCATCAACCAGCTCAAAAAAGTCCTTGTAAATTGGGCAGTCCAAGGGACTGTTTATAATGTTAACAAGCTGGTTAATGACATTTTTTGGCACCTGTTGCCAGGTCACAAATTGAAAATTCTAGTGAACTTACCCACATGTTCTATGGGTGGAGTAGCATTATACATTTCTGCAAGGAAGTGATGGATACTTTTTTGAAAGAAAAGCCCATCTAATTTCTAAAGAGATTACGAGAGCTGCAATTTCTGAGCTGAGAGCAATTGGCTCTTAGTTTAATGATTGATACACAATGCAGTTCAAATGCTTAGCTAAGTTGTGTGAATGAAGTCCTGAAGGACGTCTTGGCTACCTATATTTTATTTGTTGCGCCACCACCTGGAACTAACCGATGCTAACAAATGTTCTGCCTTTCTTTGATACATTCAAGAGTGTGATTTACAATTGTCATAATTTTGTTTTTTTTCTTTGAAGCATTTCCTGTATGTATCTTTCTCTGACCTCCTGTTTTATTTTGCTTCCTAGGAGAATTTAAATGCTCCTTCACATGAGAATTTTGTATAACATTTTCATTGAAAATGTTTCCATGTGTGTTTCATTCATGGTAAGAGAAAGCAGACATAAGAACCCTCCGGAAATGTTCCATAGAATCTTTTTGGTCATTAGCCATGCACTACCAGCAGTTGGTGTTTCACAGCTTGAAAGAGCTATTCAAATAAGAGGACAGCATGTTCTGTAAATGAGAGAACATACTGTGACTTTTCATGCTAAAATGTCTTGTGGAGCCAAATGGTGTTTGCAAGCAGATTTTAATAAGAAAAGTTAAAGCAAAAATATTTTTTTTAATGAAACATTTAAGGCGTTGTTTACTTTGACCACATTTTCTTGCCAAGCCAATTTTGTACCAGAATCCTTTAATTGTTCTTCAAAAATCTTGTGCCGTGCTGCACAAATTGCCTTAAATATCAAAACTGAATAATAATCTGAAGAGTATGTACTAAATAGTCTGATCATTTGCACTCTTGCATTACCCAACTTAATCTTAAAACTACAGGCATGACTGGGTAACTTTGGACAGTCATTTTTAAGATTTCTTGTTGCACTAAGTAAACTCTGTCAGTTTATTAATATTATGAGAGCAACAATAATTTGGACTTTTGTAGCTTTCTCATGTAGGATTAATATCACAAAGTGATGACTAATAAGATAGCGAGTACTGAGAAGGTAGAAATGATAACCGAAGCAAAGTCAGATCTTTAAGAGGTGTTTGAAGTCTACAAAAGAGGAAACGTGAAACGATTTTGGAAGTTCCACTGGAGGAGTATAGTTGATTGAGAGATTGAACATGTGACAAATGAGAAATAACAAACTATAAACTTTACATTTGATATAGTGCTTTCCATGTTTAGAGGATGTCTCAAAGTGCTTCACAGGATATACTGTAAAGTGTATTCTGCAGGCAAATGCAGGAGCCAATTTATACACAGCAATGTCCCACAACAGACATGAAGTGGACCAATTTTATTTGGGGAATTATTGGCTGGGACATGGGGAGAAACTTCCTTCTCTTTTCGATTAGTGATATGGGATCGTTATTCACCTGAAACATCTCAAAGGATGGCATCTCCAACAATACAGCATACTCCCATAACTACACTGTATTGTCATCCAGGACTGAATTTAATGTCTCGATTTTGGCATTGAACCCACAATCTTTTGATTCTGAGGCGAGAGTGTTACCAACTGAGCCAAACAGACACACTAGACTAGAATTGGAAGAACACAGCTGGAGGAGATTCCATACGTTGCGAAGGGTGAGATGTAAAGCAATTTTAAAGGTCAGAATGTTGATTTTTGAAGTCAATCAGGAAAATAGTCGGAGCTACTGGAGGCTTGCAAGGATGGTTTATTACTGCAATATTCACCCTATTCAATGCGGATCACTTAATTTAAAAGAAACTCATGTTCTTAGATTTCTTTTATTTTAACTTGTTTTCAAAATGTTTCTGATTCAATTTTTTAAATCTTTAAAACAATAAGATTTATAATAATCCTTTTGCATTTAGGATCAGAGATTTAATTGGAAAAAGTGCTCTGAAGATTTCAATCTTATTTCAATCTTTAAATTTTTACTTGTTAATCTGTGAAAGGTTGCTGCATGGTGAGTGATTGGTAGCATTAGACTTCTAATATTTTTGTTGTGTCCATTAACCTTTCGCGTCCAAACCAACATGCTGGTTTATAATGCCAAGTAGGTTAGAGATTGAGTTCCAAGTCTCCAGAATTTGTGAACAAATCACCAGGAAATATTTCTTTACACAGTGAATAATTAACAGCAAAGTTACATTTGTATAGCACCTTTCACGTCAGGAGAACGTCTCAAAGCCTGGACAATCAGGGTTTCGGACCCAAGCTGAGGGGCAGGATCGGAGAGGGTGTAGGGCAGTGGGGGAAGGTGACTGAATTTACAGTCAAAGGGGATGGTCTTGAGACGGATCTTGAAGGAGACAAAGAAGCAGATAAGGCAGAGGAACTGCAGAATGGAGTTCCAGTGCTTGGGGGCGTAGTGGCTGAAGGCCCGCCTGCCATTAGTGGGGTGAGCGAAGCGGAGGTTGCGCCTTGGGACGTCCTCCCAATGTGAAAGGCGCTATACAAATGTAGTGTTGTTGTTGTGAAGCAGGCTGGAGCCCACTGAGCGGAGGGAGTGGACAGGTTGGTAGGGGGTTAGGAGGTCGCAGAGGTAAGGGAGAGCAAGGCCATGGAGGGCTTTGAAAGTAAGGACCAGGATCTTGAACTGTATTCTCTGTGTGATGGGAAGCCAGTGGAGTTGGGCGAGGATGGGAGTGATGGGGTTGCAGAGCCTGGTGCGGGAGAGGACATGGGCTGCGAGTTCTGGATGATCTGCAACCGATGGAGGGAGGACTTGAGGTCGACAAGCAGGGAGTTTGCATAATCGAGCCTGGATGTCATGAATGCTTGTATGAGGGTCTTGGCAGCCTGCGGTGTGACACAGTGGTGGAGCCGAGCGACGTTGCAGAGATAGGGGAAGGCAGAGTGGGTCATGGTAAGGATGTGGGGTACAAAGGATAGTTGAGGGTCAAACAAGACGCCAAGGTTCTGGATCAGTGAGGTGGAGTTGCATCCTTGGGTGGTGATGCTGTCAGTGCCTGAGGTGTGGAGGTGCTGACGGGAGCCAATCAGGAGAGCCTCGGTCTTGTTAATATTCAGCTGTAGAAAGTTAGCTCTTATCCATTCTGTCAGCACAGCAGTGGTCCTGGAGGCAGAGAGATGGAGTTGGGTGTCATCCTCATGCATGCGGAAGTTTGACCCCATGTCTGTGGATGATGTCACCAAGAGGGAGCATATAGATATTGAAGAGGAATGGACAAAGGACAGAGCCCTGAGGAATGGTGATTGAGACGGTGCGGGGGCGAGAGGAGAAGCCGTTTGTGGAGATGAAGTGGAAATGGTGTGAGAGGTATGATCTGAACACAGTCAAGGACAGAACCATGAAGGTTGAGGTGAGAGGAGAGGCAGTGGAGGAGGATAGGGTGGTCAGCGGTATTGAAAGCAGCAGAGATGTCAATGAGGATGAGGAGGCACAGGGACCTCTGGTCGCAGAAGGACAAAATGTTGTTTGTCACTTTAACCAAAGCTCTTTCTGTGCTGTGGGAGGCACGGAAACTCCATTGTAGGGGTTCGTGAAGGGAACTACTGTAATAGATTGCTATGAAGAGTGGTTGAGGCCAGGGTGCTGGACTTCTCTTAAGAAATTGCTTGATACTTTAATGGGAGAATGGTTAAAGTGGTCATTCTAGAGGGATAAAATCCAACAGGCCATAGAATCAAAGTCATGGAAATTTATAATGCGAAAGGAGGCTGCTTGAGTCTGTGCTGATTTCAGAGCAAGGTCTACTTTCAATCAAAGGGTTCCCCTATCCCCATACCCTTTCAAGCCTCTAATTTTAAGCGTCTTACGATGTCCTTCTGATGTGAAAGACGCTATATGAATGTAAATTTCAAATGTCTGTCTGCTTCCCTCTTTAAACCCATAATGGACTCCTAACTCTACCACCAACTTTTGAGTGAAAAATGTCTTCTCAGCTCTCCCTTTAATCTTGTGTCTGGTGTGCATTTATGTTCCCTCATCATTGACTACCCTCATCATTGATTACCCTATCAGTGGAAATAGTTTCTACCTATACACTCTTTGTCAAAATCACTCAATTTTGTACACCTCTATCAGGTTCCTTCTCTGCTCTCAATCTTTTCTTCTCCCTCTCCTTCGCCCACAAAATCACGTTATACTTTTAAAGAAAGACCTTATTCACAGTAGGTAATCCAGCATTACTCAACAATATTGCTCCTCATCTGAACTGCAACGCCTACAAAATACATACAGTTCCACCACTTTACAGTATATCCCATGAAGCTCTTTGAGATGTCTCGGAGATGTGATTGGTGAAGTATCAAGTGCAAGGATTATAACATTTTCTTAAGCAACTGTTTTGCTAGAAATACAATAGTAGCTCAGTTCCTTTCTAACAAATCAATCACTGATATTTCTATGAATGCATAAATAATATCGGCGGTATGTGAAAATGGTTAAGTTTTCCTAATATAATTTTCATATTCTAATTCTGAACACAGATATCGAGTAGAGGATGAATCGTCCAGTTTGGACGAAATGCCACTGATGATGTCGGAAGAAGGTTTTGAAAATGACGAGAGTGACTATCACACATTACCAAGAGCCAGAGTTACTCGAAAAAAGCGAGGACTAGCCTGGTTTTTATTTGGTGGATGGAAATTACTTTGTACCAGGTAAATAACTTATTTTTGTTGCAGTATTCTTAAAAGGGTGGATATGTGAGTTTCCCCATTATTTCTTAACATCTCAGCATCTCGGTAGTTGAATTATTGATGGAGCTGTGAATTCACTTTGGGCAGCAAATTGATGTTTTAGAGGTTGTTGTATGAGTCACAGACCTCTCCCCCACCACAATTGCTCTTTTAGAGAACATTTGATCTTGCCCATTGGCTTGAGAAGGTGTTAAGTGAATGGGAAATGTAACAGACAAGTCATCACCTTTTCTACGAAGAAAAGGGCGGATGTGGGAGAGTAGTCTCCTTAAAATAATTTTGAAATAGTACTGGGCATTGTGAGTAAGGCTCTTTTGACACCTTTCTGTGCATTAAAGAATCAATGTGTTAGAGCACTCGCCTTGCAAGCGAGAGGACCTGGGTTCGATTCCCTGGCAGGGCGAGACGTTGGGCAAATTTACTTACTGCACGTGCAGTAAGTAGAAAACTGGCTGTTAGTCGATTGGTGGATTGCTTTTCCGGAGTTAATAATCCTTTCAGAAAATAAGAATAATTTGGTCAATCTATCCAGTACTATGGGTCACTGAAGTGCTCAATTGTCTGTCACGTTTCGCTGACAAAATATACAGTCAATTCACTTTACAGTATATCCTGTGAAGAGTTTTGAGACGTCTCGAAGACATATCAAATGCAAGGATTATTATTATTTTTGGTAAGACGCTTTTGTTGGTGGTCATTCTTTTGTCTACTGCTTTCATTGGCTGTTAAGTTTTCATTATTTATTTTATTTACAAACATCATCTCCTGGAACCGAGTTCCATTTGTTTAATCCATTGCTGTTTGCATTTAACATGGGGAAAATTATTTAGTATAATTTTGGAACTGGTTAGGCATTTTGATTTCCCTTGCTTAGAGCAATGATCTCATTCAACAAACCATTGGCTATTTATCTCTGATGTGCTTCAGTCATTTCCTGCATTTTTTTTTACTTTTCACAATGTATTTTAAGTATTTCCAGGACTTTGACCCTTATTCCTTTTGTTTTGCTTGGAAAAATGCCATGGTTTGGCCAGACTAAAAAGAAGCAATATTTCTGGAAGAAGGGTGCTCTGTTTTGGATTGTTTTTGCCAAAAGCTAATTAATGTAGGACTTGCACAGAATTCTGAATGTTTTTGTGTTGTATGCAAAAATAAATGCTTCTGTTTGGCATGTCCTGATGTACTTTGCTAGGATAACCCTGTAATTTTGCATCTCCGACCTACATTCATAGACCTTTAATTACAAGCTGCTCACTGTCTACTTAGAGGTATCCTTAAAGAAACCCAGGTGTAAAAAAGGCTGTCTAATTACTGAGGAAGATGCAATATGTTTTCATATTTGAGCTTTTTGTGCAGCAAAGCGCTTTCAAATGCTCAGATGTGTGAAGGGAGGTGCTAAACCCAGTTATGGTAGCCCACGAGCAGCCCGAAAACAAGTTCTCAAATACCTTTTGGATTAATTTTCATTTGTTGTGTATGCAATACTCTTTGTACAAAATTAGTAGGGTTTAAGAAAAACTCCAGTTGACTTCTTGCAATTTTTACAACCAAATCTATATATTTGCCATACAGTTTAAAGTAGTTGCCGAAATATTTTTGTACATTTGGCCTGCAATATTGGGTCATTAATTTAGTTTGCAACTTTTATCTGAAGTAACAGTAATTCAAGCATTGGGAGCTAACCTCCCCACTGGTTTCTCTTGACAGTGTTTTCTACTCTTCCTGAGATGTATTACATTGAAAATTTGCATTGAATGCATTGTAAATATTTATTTAATAACTGATAGTTGGGATGTAAATTGCGCCAATGAATCAGTTGATAGATAAAATGAATTCGTTGACTTGTAAAATGGGGGAGGGGAAACTAGGGGGAGGGGATCTGGGTGACAGTTCGTTGATGCTGTGGAAAATTGCTTGTGGTGTGAACTAGATTCTGCAGCACCAGAGGCATTTCGGAGCAAGAGCTGCTTCTAATCAAAGCGGCTTTGTAATGTAAACGGTCTGCAACCAGGCATAGCCACAGAATATATATCCATTGCTTACTTAAATATCTGAATATTCATTGACTAAATATGACATAGCAAGGGAATGCAATTAGTGTCTTTGGAGATTTAGTAAAAAAGACAGCAAGTTGAATTATTTTGTTAAACAATTGAAGTTTATTGTAAGCAACTTACTTATTTTGGTCTGTCTGTTACAATCCTAAATTTTCTCTTTCTCTTCCTTTCCCCTCTTCTCCTAACCATGTGGCCAGAAATGTTAATTTTGACCGTCTTCCTTCATTCCATTCCCAATGTTGTAAATGATTCTCCTCCAAACCCCAATATGGCTAAATGATTTGTTTTTAGTGCTCATTTAGTATCTGGATTGTCGCATTCCTCAGAAGTGGGGGAAGGGAAGAGGAAAGGCATGATGGCCATGTATCCTTTATGATTAATAAATATGTCCTGAAGGATTGCTGAGAGTTTTTCCACTGCTGATTGTACAGTAAATTGTGTTTTGGGATCTGTCTGTAGAAGTCAATGTAAGCTGAAAACTGTTTTCAGGGTAAATGCTTTACACAGTGTCATTTTGACCCTTTACACTCTGACATTATATATCTCTCAATAGATGGATGGGAGTGTTGTCTTTTTTAAAAGAAAAGGAAGGGTTGTGCTCATCTGGAAATTAAATTAATGATTAATTTGAAGGTTGAAATTGTAGAAGCAGCTGCCTGTTATCTGTTCTTGGACAGGATTTGAACACCTGGATGGTCATCAAGGATAAATATGTCTAGGTCAGAGCATGCTCATTTACTGTACATACTGCCTGAATTTGTGACAATCAAACAGTCTTGCTTGTGGGAGCTTTGGGATTTAAAAGTAGTTTTTTTAAGCTTTGTTCTGCCTACATTCTTCTTTCTGACGTACAAGGTAATTGACCTACTCGTGGGGCTTCTAATACTGTGCTTGATTTGGAAGTTTGGAGATTGTGAGGGTGCAGTAGGTTAACTTGCTACCTAATTTTTACATAACTCATTCTGTGGGAAATGTCTTGCTTATAACACTGTGCCAATAAGCCTGCTTGATTGGGATGTCAACATGTGCAGAAATAGAGTAAAACCCACATTATACTACCACTGTTCTCCGTTTTTAATTTACATTTTTTTTACATAAAGGAATAGGTAGTTATTTTGTGGAGAAAATTTGGACAATAGAAATTTGAACAATAGATAATAGTAACAGAATATTTTTACAATTGATCCAGCCAGTCAGTGCTGGTGTTTATACTCCACACGAGTCTCCTCCCATTCCTTTACTCCCTCTCATACCTTCTACTCCTCTCTCCCTCATGAGAACACCTTGCTTTCTCTTGAATGCATTTACGCTATCTGATTCAACGACTGCTTCAGGTAGTTGAATCAGTTCCACAATTTCTCTACCCTTTGCTGAAGTAGTAGTTTATGATCCCCTTGTTGCTTTAAGTTTCCTTACTCCACATGCCTGTTTACCGAGCAATAAGTAGGGAACCAGGGTGTTAATCGATTTGGAGGGGGATTGTTACTCCTGGAAAATGATTCACCAAAGAAAACGAATGGGGTCACTCAATCCATGACTGCTTGTGGGACATTGCTGTGCACAATTGACTTGCGTTTTGCACACAAAATACAGTCAATTCACTTTACAATATATTCTGTGAAGCGCTTTGGGACTGCTGGAGCACGTGCTAAGGCGCGATATCAAATGCAAGGATTATTGTTGCTATGCTATATATATGTTCTTTGTAGATCCAGTAATTCACCTATAAATTGAGTTCTACACTTTGCAATAAAATTCTGTGAAACACTTTTGAGACATTTCAATGACTTGATAAAGCACTACATCAAACGCAAGGATTATTATTCAGTAATTCCCAATAGTTTTCTTGCAGTGTTGCACTTCATACTGTGTGTGACTGACTTATTTCAGTTGCCCTGAGGAATTCTATGGAATGTCACTTCTCTGTTCTGTAATGATATTTCAGTGGAGTTTGTATATTATGCAGTTTATTTTAGAATCCTGTCCATCGATTAAACTTGTAGCCTAGATTTCAGAGCAAATTCCTAGAGGAGGATTATGTAATGTCAAATGATTATGTATTATCAAACCTCCGGGATCTCATAAGCTAATTCATTCGGTGCATCTAGATGCTATGGGTTGAAGTATTTAAATACTCCTAGCAAATTTAGAAGCAAATCCTGAATGTAACATAATTTGCATTATCCAAGTGGACCTGGAAGTGTTGTGATGGATTATGGTGCGTTTTCAGTGGCATTGATGGACAGAGAATCCACTTGTGTGCAGTAGATTTGGAAGCGTGCTATTCCTGAGCATGGTGTTTATAAGTCACACCTGTACCTTCCTACATTTGACATGTCGGGTTCCATTGCTTTGAATAGGAACCAGGAGTTTGTCAAATGTTTCAGTTTATTTTTCTATGCCAAAAAATATATCCAGCATTCCCAATTGCTGGAAGGTGTTTTACAGCAAACGGCCTTTCAGTAGTAAAAGCAACCTTTTAATAGAAATTATGCATTGATCAAATGTTGGCACACAAAGAAATGCTGCAGGGTGTGCCAATAAAAACATTAATTTTTCAACCCTAATAGTAATCTGTTGTAAAGTTAAAGCTAGCATATTAATCAAATAGTCATGCATGATTATTTGGCACAAATTAGCATTTTTGTTTTTAAGCATTTTACATGATAAAGTAGAGATTGAATTTTATCCTTAAATTTAAAAATATAAAGTTCAGTGACTATGTAAAATTCTGAACTTAGTTTTAATGTTTTGAGCATTAAAACATTGTTTTTAAATATATTTTGCCCACAAAATACAGTCAATCTATATTACAATATATTCTGTGAAGGGCTTTGAGATGGTTCAATGATGTGATAAGGCACTATATCAAATGCAAGGGTTATTATTATAAATAAAATTCCT